TGAACGTTCAGATTTAAGCAATCGGCACACGCGCACGCAAGCGTGGTGCATACACATCAAGAACCAATGCAATCTCTCAGGTGTGTTTAGGTATGTTAACTGTCTTTCAAGCGTGGTAATCGTGCATTGACCGGCATTAGGACAACTGGATGCCTGGAAGCTGACTAGGCAGTATGTTCGGAGAATGATTAAACTGATCGCGAAATTCATAAGCAGAGGTAAGTCAACTGCCTCACTGCCACTAGCCCACAACGATCTGCGAACCTTGAGTCAGAAATAGAACGGAGTTCAACATTATCAGAGAAATGTAGACCATCACTGAAAAGCTAGCTGAAGAAACGAAACGAATACCAAAAATTACCAGCAACAATTGGCACAGAAACTTGTCTAGCCATCCTTAATGACCGCAACACGCACGCTGAGGTGAAAGCAGTGGCTGGACAGCAACAAATCTGTATGAGCCATTTGTATAAGTAATCTCCACAAAAAAACGTAGAATCCGGCTGGTCAACAGGTTCAGCGATTTCCAGTCTTTTATAAAGCCATCATTTGAGCCAGGCAGTTGAATAGGAAAGGACACTTCTGACGGCATCATCTGATCAGATAGAGTCAGATGATTGACTTAAGTATCACCGTTATCGTGTCTACCATGTGTGCACGCGAAGAACAGGTGACAGTCTGATGGTTTCACTCCTTTAGCGATCTGAACCGTGCGAAAAATGAGCACGAAGATGCTAATATCTCAACATTATTCACAACCGCTCGTTTGAGCTACTTCAATTAGGGGGCGAAGGTGAATACGATTGTTGTGTGCGATTACATTACTTGACCTGGACGGGTCGGTCAGAGACGTTACCACCCAGGTAGAGACAAATTAAGTGCTAGCTTGTGAGTCCCGGCTGTGTGGAGCACGTTATGAAGTAATTAAAAGGCAACTTCATCGATTCTGGTGCAAGACATTTGGTTAACTGATATTGATTACAAGTTATAGTGGGAAAAACTAAATACAGTTAATTATAATTTTCCACCATCCTAATCGATGAGACGGTGCCAAAGTAACTAGCATTAGGGTGAGAGCTGTTGATTTTTATTTGAAGTTTCTTTCTGTAAGTGAAACCAATCTATGCTGAAAAGCGGAAAGGCATTGTACAGCTGTTTCATGATTACTGGAAATAATGGGCAGTGCGCATCTCACAAAACTCAGAGTTTCGAGCCCCGACATGCTGGCAGCATTGAACATTGAACTGTTCGGTCACTAGAGGCTGGACAGCAGTGTAATTAAGTCACACTTAGATAGGATTTAGTGCCGTTCATCCTTCACTCACGCAGACCACATCATGAGGTTAGTTGTTAGCTGGCTTCTCGAATGATTACTTACCAGATGGATGTTTCACTCATGTGAAAATGTTATTCATCTGGGCTACCTATTGATTGATGGTAACGCAAATTTTCAATCGAGGCTTTATCCCCCCATCTTGTATAGATGCTTGTAAAATACCCTGCTGATCAGCCTCTCTTGTTCAAATCAGTTGCCTGAAGATTGTGGGTTCGATTACCTCTACTGCAGTTCAGCTCACAGTTGATTATTCCAAGTAACGACGAAACGGATAGACAAGGCTCTTCAGATTTCTAGAACAGATTACCTTCATCTACAGGGAGAATTCTTGTTTAAAACTTCTAACTGTTTCCGTAATTACTTGTTGATGTAAACTGTTCATTCATTGGCAAGGACCTCGGGTTACAGCTCACAATTGTGGCTACGTGCTAGGTTCGATCTGACAACCTTCGGAATCCAGTTTGTCCACCAACAGCTAGTATTTATCATGAAGAAAAGCTTGGAATCTTCTGCAAATTTTAGATAGTACCACGGTAGTGAGCATCTGGCTCTGAAACCTCAGCATGTGTACCATTCAAACGAATCATACCTTACTAAGAAACCGTTAGCTTATGCGTCAGTCCGTCCAGTGATTGTATTTTCAAGAGAACGAACTGAATACATATTCTGTGGGTGTTGCAAGTCCTCCTTACAGAACAACTAGGGTATCATGAGCACATATATTAGTTACCAAACATATGTAGCAGCGCTTGCAATTCTCTGCTAAATAGTATTTACCTCTTTTGGTCTTAATGCATATTTAATGTAAGCCACAAGAGCAAACAAGCTTACAACTATGTTTTGTAGGGTCTGAAACTTCTCTCTTATTCATGGGAGCTCTTGAATGTGTGAAATGCATTAGTCAATTGAGGCTGCCCTTGCAGCGTTAATCAGAGCTGTGGTCGGTTGCAAAATTTGTAGAATTCACATTCCTATCAACTTGAACATTCCTCTTCCTCGGTTAGGCAAACCAATCACGTCGCACAAAAGTAAACACGCCTGATCAAACGTAATGAGCTATTGGGGGAGTGGCAGCCTAATTAGTACCATTCTTATAACTGTAATCTTGTTGATATTCGGATTATCTTTGCTCCACCTCCCCAAACTGATACTGTCAACACCGGTTGATTCATGTACTTTGACTCGTTAGCCTCAAGGTTCTATACCTGTGCACCGATACCATCACCATACAAGTCACATCGTTAAGCTTAGATTTTTGGCTGATACAGTGATAGCAGCCCAGTATTTATCTCTGCTAGTTGTAAATTTGTTAACAGTAAGGAACTGCAATCCTCC